AGGCCCCCTTTTCCTGCTCAGAACCAGCCTTTGTTGTATTTTTTCACACTTTGTTGTGTTTCTCCCTGGTTCTGTTTTTCCCCCCGAAGTTGAGGGTAGCCACAGTAATGACGGCCTGTTGCTGGGGCGACTGATAGATGAGCCTGACCAGCAGGTGGCAGACAAGTCCCTGCTGGAGATATTGGATGGCATCGTGATGATGTACAACCTGAGTGTTCATCAGCAGCTGGGGAAGGTGAGTCTGAGTCACCTCAGGACAATGATGTTTTTTGACCTCAGGACAATGATGTTTTGTATTGACAGTGGATACATTGGTAGGAGAATGCTGGAGATAGAGCTAAGACAAAGAGGAGATTTATGGATGCAGTGAGGTAGGACATGCAGATAGTTGGAGTCAGAGTAGAAGATACAGAGAACAGGGAGAGATGGAAATCAATGATTCGCTGTGGCAACCCCTGAAAAAAAAGGGACAAAGCCAAAAGGAAAAGAAAATCGAAATGTCGATTTATTTGTCATTTTTTAATGTATTGGTTCATAAATGACTGGTCAGATGAGATGCAGCCAGTCCTTGCATAAATGATTAATGTAAATATTCACACACAAAAAAAAAATCAGACAATGTTAGCAAGAACTCAAGCAAAAACATTTGCTAAAAGACATTTTTTAGCCAACGCTCAAATTGCTAAAAGTTAAAATGATCAAATCTGAGAGAAATGTTATGGCAAGTTGTTGGCAAAATAGACACAGACGCTGCTAACCCTCACCAACACCTGCTTGTTCACCTGCTGCTCTGCCGTCTTAAAGATGGTGGTGGTCTCTGACGACGTCCATGAGTATGCCATGGCGCAGAAGGACACAGAGGAGAAGATCACACGATGTCCTGCGCAAGTAAGTGTCCTGCACTTTCTGAGAGCACGTGTTGACTGTTAACCGAGAGCAGTTAGGTGTCTTCAGCTGACATTTGACTTGTCCTCTGTCTCTTCAGAGGATGGACATCCTAGACGAGCTGCAGAAGAGTCAGAAGGTTTTTTCTGAGAAGCTCAACCACCTGAGCAGACGGCTGGCCTGGATCAACACTACCATCTACTCCAAGGTCGGCCCGCAGCCTTTTCTTCTTCTTTTCTTAGTAATTGGTCCTGCAGTAGTGTCTTACTCTGAGTGTGTGTGTGTTTGTGTGTGAACATGCAGGAGAAGATGCTGGATATTTACTGGCTCCTGTGTGTCTGCATTCGCACCATCAAACACGCTGACAACAGCGGCTCGCTCTTTGCCTTTATGCCTGAGTTTTACCTCAACGTGGCCATGAACGCCTACAGCGCCCTGAAAAACTACTTTAGCCCGTCCCACAGCATGGAGGAGCTTCCAGGTAATTAAGGCCCGGCAAACGGCTACAGACAAACAAAAATAATTGATAGCTGGGTGAAAAACAGCACATAAGAAACAACTTCATCAGCAGTAGCCAGTTCTGGTCACATGATCACATGACTAAGTGGTCAGACTGACCGTTATTTTCTTTCTTTTTTTTTCATAGGTTATGAAGAAACTCTGACTCAGCTGGCTGCTATCCTGGCTAAACACTTTGCTGATCCACGGATTGTAGGAACAGGTGCACACACTCACACACACACACACACACACACACTAATATCAGTCTCTCACCAAGGTTATAATAGTTTGGGGTTGTCCGTCGTAGTTCAGTTTTATTTTGTTTCTTTTATTCAGTTTGAATTCGTTTTTCAGAGCGAGTTTGCTAGTTTCATATAGGGTTTTTTTTTTCTCAAAATGCTTTGATTTATTTTGTTCATACTTTAGGTTATTTGATAGATGTGAAAAGTGTTGTTTAATAAAACCCAAAACACAGGATACCGTAATATATATTACTGTTGAACAACCAACTTGTTGAAAACAACTTGATTTAAGATGATTGGGAGACCACAGCTGCAGTGATTAGGGAGACAGGTAGGAAGGTGCTAGGTACGTCCTCTGGGCAGAGAAAGGAGGACAAAGAGACCTGGTGGTGGAATGATGAGATCCAGGAGAGTGAAAGAGAAAGAGATTAGCGAAGAAGAGATGGGATAGTAACAGAACAGAAGAGAACAGACTGGAGTACAAAGAGAGGACAAGGGAGGTGAAGAGGGAAGTGGCCAAGGCCAAACAAAAGGCATATGAGGAGTTGTACGAGAGTTTGGAAACAAAGGAAGGAGAAAAGGAGTTGTATAGATTGGCGAGACAGAGAAATCAAGCTGGGAAGGATGTGCAGCAGGTGAGGTTGATTAAGGACAGAGAGGGGAATGTGATCACAAGTGAGGAAAGTGTGCTGAGAAGATGGAAGGAATACTTTGAGGAGCTGTTAAATGAGGAAAATGAAAGGGAACGTAGGAATGAGGAACCAGAAACTATTAGGAAGAAGGTAGATCAGATTAGAAAGGATGACGTAAGAAAAGCCCTGAAGAGGATGAAGAGTGGAAAGTCAGTTGGTCCCGATGACATTAGGAGAAGTGGTGGTAGATTTCCTGACTAGGTTGTTTAACAGAATTTTTGAGACTGACAAGATGCCTGATGATTGGAGGAAAAGTGTTCTGTTGCTAATTCATAAGAAGGGTGAGGTACAGAGTTGTAACATCTACAGAGGAATAAAGTTGATGAGTCATACAATGAAGATTTGGGAATGAGTAGTGGAAGCAAGGTTGAGGCAGGAAGTGGAGATTTGTGAACAACAGTATGGTTTCATGCCTAG